ATCCCCAAAGTACCAACTAGATTCACTTTCCTAAGGTTCTGTTCAATAAAATCAAAGCATTTTTACTGTCCTAAAAGGTGATGACAGAAAAATAAAATAAATATAAAAATAATTTTAAAAAAAACACATCATTGTCAAATCAAAACATGCATCGCTCCACTCAGAGTTTAAAATATGTATTGATTATAATAGACACTTAATTTACAATTTTGCAACCTCGACTTTACTAATGCTCAAATTTGTAGGCTCAGAACCAAAATATTAAATATTACATTTTTCAGGAGAGCCATTTTAACTATTTTCAACTTGAAACTGTATTATCTTTTTTCATATTGAATGATTTTTAATGCTTGAGGCATCTAAAAATTCTAAACCTAAAAAATCTAATATTTTTCCAAATTGGTATTATAAATTTATTTTTCTAAATCAAATATTGGACTATTTGTACGTGGAATTCAAATTACTCATGTAAGATAATATATATAGATATAAGCATATACAGTAACATAGGTCTTTACACTAGTTTTTCGTTATCGTCGTGATACCTTGAAACAGTGCACATTTATCCATGTGCACCGATTCGTAATATTATTTTGAACACGAAGTTTTCAGTGTCAGCTTTAATTTCGATTCTACGTAAAGTAATTATATGTATAATATAATATATATATGTACATATGCCAACAAGTAGCGGATAGTGGAGTTGACTCTAATTAATGATATATGATGAGATGATTAACACTTTGCCCCAGACTAGTATTTACATTAGCCTTAAGTCAGCATTTATACATAAGCACATTTAAAAATTATAAGAAGTCTTGTTTTTAACTTCTAAGACCATTGTAATAGTATTGATATTTGATAAAAAAAAAACAAATTTGTAATTAATTTGTATTTTAATTACTGATAACCGATCTTTAGCAGTACCGTATTGGGGTAGTTGGTACAGTATATATTTATATAGTATATATTTGTATATATTGGTACTCAATGGTGCTAAACACACACTAGCACACTGCATAGTATGCATTGTGTACAGTAAGTGTGGTACTATGATGTACGACAAGTAACAATTATTAAAATATGTTTGGAACAGTACAATATGTACAAACTACCAACATTTTACAATACCCACATCAGAATATCAGATAAGACCTACCTATTCACTAAATATACCTAAGTACATAACATATATAATGTAAATACTAAATAGCTATGTTTCATATCCATTATTAATTATTTTTGACCATATTTTGTATTTAAGTATTTGTTTGTGACTGTAAATACTGCTAACTGCTTGTAAATCAGTATTTATTATTTATTTACACATTACTCAATGTTGTCCAATTTGAATTTATATTAAATATTTGATAAAATTGTTAATATTTAATACTTCAAAATATTCGCCCCTCCCCCTTCACTCGCTATAGCACTATACTATGTAAATCTGCGTGAAAACATTTTTGAATCAGCCAATCAGTGAGTGGTTGCCCTATTCTTATAAAAACTAAAATGACGCCACTGGCCTAACCCTACTATACAATTTATTATGGGAAATGGGAATATAGTGTTTTTGTTTACAGTGTCTTGGTTAATTTTGTTTTATCCAACGACGTGCTAACTCAGGTCACCCCGTCGTGTCTGGATATCTGGTTTGTTTTCAGTTTTTCATACAAATTTTGATTGTTATTGAGAGTTTGAAGAATAGAGTTGAAGTGTTTGTCCGAGCTAGGATCACTGGAATGTATGCTCAATAAGCTCTCCCAGTCCCCAGACAAGTACATTGTTTTGCACTTAGTGTAGTTTTCGAAGAGTGCAAACCACATGGTTTGACCGGACTATTGTACCGGACCAATGGTGTTTTTTTTTTACTTGTTTAACACATTTTCTTACACTTGTGGTTTTGGTAAAATGTCTTTTTTAGTAAATATTGGCTATACCATTATATTTTTTTTTAAATAAATAATTTTTCAATTTCATTGGATTCTTTTCCGCTTCCCATAGACATTGGTAATTTCCACAATTCTTCCATTTAATAAAATAAAGAATTTCAGTATGTACTTTATCGTGTAAAATTATTTTTAAACACCATACTCTTTCAGCTTCTTATAACCGGATATGTTATCCAACGAAAAGTTCGGCGTTTTACCGACAAGGTTTTGACTTTTGACTGCTGGGGAGGTAATCGAAATTCCATGCCCATTGGTATTCGTTCTCGCTATACAGTGAATATCCTACATGACGATAAGCTGCAGTCCTCTTATACGACGATTTGGAGGGATTGTGGGTTGAATAGACGTAATTAGGGGAGACTTGTGGGGGGCTAAGTTAACCTCCAGGTTTATCCGTAGCCCCTCAGTTTTTTAATCATATTTTAGTTTAAAATATTAACTATCAAGGTTTGTGCTGCTGATACAATTTTAGCCACCCCCCCCCCCACCAAAAAATGTCCTTAGTTGCGCCTATAGTAGGGGGTCTTGGTTAGTACGATTTTCTTCATCACGTATTTGCTTATCTTCACATTTGTTTCTGGATGCCTGGGCTGTCATTAGTTATTTATACAAATGTTTATAGTTTTTGTCTTGTTGATGGTGTGAAGAATAAGAGTTCAAGTGGTTTGTTACTTTTTAAATACAGGAATTTATACACAATGAACAGCCTCGGATAAGTACATTGTTTGACACTTTGTGTAATTATCCAGAGAGTGGAAACTTCCTCGTTTGCCCGTTCTGTTGTGCTACAACTGTGTGGTTTTTACTTGTCTAATACGTTTTATTACCATTCCTTCCCCCTTTACCAATATTCTTCGTACAAATAAATTAACTATTCTGAATATCAAAACAATTGAGAACTTTTTCTAGTAGTTTTAAAATTCTGGCCCCATTCGCACCATTTCTTCAGGGGCCTGGGCATAGTTACCCAGTCCAAGTGCTAAATCGACGAAGCGTAGCCTTGTTTTTTAGTAATTTTTAGTTATAATTAGATGGTTTTTCTGAATTATCCAAAATATTCGGATAGTTTTAAATTATTTTCCAGTTCTCAGAAACCTTCGGAATTTCGTGGTTTACCTTGAAATTATTTACTTTGTTAAGCGAAAGAATTTCTCTATAGTTTAATGAACTTAGGTAGTGGATATCAAAAGACATTTTAATCAACTGCTTGGGTGTTTTGGATGATTACAGTTTTCAAAACACCCTCACCAACTTGTTGTTTAAGTATACGTATACTACAGCTCATCGTGGCGTTAGAGATTTTCTGAATAGATTTGCACTAATAATAACTGATTCTTGGGCCACACAATCACTTTCCCTTAATTTATCTATACTATTTACACATAGCATTATCTTTTTCTTTTTTTTAATTTGTATTTATAACTGCCTACCTGTTGAATTATATAAAATTGGCGTAAAATAAAGTATAATAATAATATTTAGGTAGGTAAATATAATATAATATATATTATATTTATATACTTATATGTCGGACACTCAGATAATAGTTGAACTTTTATCGCCTATGGTAGGCATACATTACCTATAATATCGTAGTTTCTGGACCACGTTATATACCACGTTATACGGTATTGTGCGGTCACCGGTTGATAAGAAAAAGCTTCCTATCGAGTGGTGGTAGGTCACTGCAGCAACACGCAACTCGAGTGTTTGATACTATTACACTCGTGTTACAATATTGTAGTAGGTATGCATATTTTCGGGGGAAGCACACGCATTTGAAAAATATTGTCGGGACAGGGGCAAGAGATATTTTTTTTTTTATTTTGCCGACTAAACCGTGTAATGAATGCTGTGTTTCCCTTAAAATAATAATCGTATACGCGCGGGGCGAGGGTTGAAGACTAAGGGGAAGACCGCGTCGTCGAGGACCGCGCGTGAACCTATATGTTGCGGTACGCCGAGTGAGCGACCGGAAAAGAAAAAATAAATAACAATAATGACAAAAAGAACGGATCAACGCCGCACTCACTGTCGACCGGATGAGTGAGGCCCCTCGTGATGATGGGAAGGGGGCTGTGAGGGAATTTCGCGAGCGTATTACTGTATTACTATACTACTGCCGCCACTCGCACACCTATTATACCACGGTATAAGTGGGCGCCGCGTGTGCGCGTGTGTGAGTGGCGTACGTTATTTGGCGCGCGCGCTTGATATCGATTGTGGTCTCGCGGCGGTGACGGCGGCGGCGGCGGGGACGCTCGTTAATAGCAGCAGCAGCAGGCGGCAACACCACCGCCGGCACCACCACCGTCGACCGGTGCCCACCGCTCGCACCACGACGACGGCCAACGCTCGCGGCGGCGGCGGCAGGCATCAGCGCGGGACTCGGACGGCCGCGACTACCGCCGCGATTCTACGGACGACGTCGACGGCGGCGACTGCGACTACGACGACGGCGGCGACCGCGACCACGACGATCACCGCGGCCGACGACGACGACGACGACGACGAGCACACGACGGCTACGGCGGCGATCGCGACGGTAGCGTCAGTGGCACCGGGCGCGACGAGTGTGTCGGTCGTGTATCGGTCGGGTCCCAAGCACAGGTCCAACGCACGCGTTCGCACACCGTCCGGGGGGAAGGGGCCCAACACGCGCCGGTACCGCGTCCGTGTTATAGTATATTATTATACAGCATACGTTTTTTTATCGCAATAAAAATAATATATTTATAATTATTTGTTGTAATTAATATTAAATCATCCAGGCGATAATGACAATAATGGTCATATTATTATTGTTGTAGTGACAATTATTATTATCGTAGTCGTATATACGACGTACTGACGGACCGTTTATCACATTGTAACAATATAACTACAACTGTTGTATAACACCTCTCGACCAAGACCCGTCGCGACATACACTATACATACGGTACCTACACCTAAATCATTTTAATAATATCATCGCCGTCGATTGCCGCCGGTCGCACAGTGAAGACGACTTCGCTAAACGCGGAAGACGATAGCCCGGACCGGCCGATGGAATCCACACCACCGCCGACTTCGGCGGCCGGCGCCTCGTCCTCTTCGCCGAATGCCGGAAGGTTCGCGGACAGGGCCACTGAGAGCCTGTACCAGAGCTACAACGCCAAGCAGAAGCGCGCGGCTTTCGCTTGTTACGTGTCTGCGTCCATGCTGTTCGACGTGTACTGCCTGTCCGTGTACGACGCCCGGTCTCCGTGGACGTGGTGCCTGCTGGCCGCCAACGTGGGCACGCTGCTGTGGTGCAGGCTGGCCGGCGGCCGGCGCCGGTACTGGACGTTCGTGGCCCACCTGGCCTGGCTCACGGCCAACGTCCAGGTCGTGTTCCACATGGTGGCCAACGCGGCCGAGGGGGCAGACCTGCTCGGATGGATACTGCTCTACGATTACCTGGCCTACGTGTCCCTGCCGCTCACTCTGGCCCTGTGCATAGTCCTCAGCGCCACCACGTGCCTCACCTACGTGGTCACCATGGCCGTGCTGGGCCGTCACCACGCGTACCTCGCCCGACAGGTGATATAATATACATATTTTAATATAATAATATGTTTCATTATGACATAAAATTGTGTTGTCACTCTTAACATACTAATATGTGCGATGGTACCTAACTGCATTTGTGCGATAGCGCGAATCTTCGTATTATTATTATTGTTATTATATCGTGTGTCGTGGTATAATATAGGTGTCGATTATACGACAAATTTTGATTTGATTTTCTCGGGTAACAATATCATTGTGCTGCGGCAATAATACGTTTTATTTCGACCGTCGTCGATGTACGAAATTTTATTATTACCTACGTAGTAGTTGTGTGAACGACATTAATATAACTGCTGCAGTAGGTATAATATAATTCAACGGACGTGCGACATTCTAACGCGTTGTGCAGCGGTGAATCGCATTCGATATTCGCGGCGATGTCATCGGCTGTGTATAATATTCCCCTCGGACCAGTCTCAGAATTTCTCGAGCACGTATCTATATTTTTTGAACTGTGCATGTGCCTGATGAAATTCCATGGAAATAAAGTATCACGTCGTCTATAATATTCACTCTATATATTATTATATATCATTACATTACTAATTATTATCATTATAAAAAGAACGCGCGCGAAAGAACTTCTGAGACGAGATCTGACAACCGCGAGCGCGCATTTCAAACGGCTTCGAATTCGAATGCTTTAACGGCAATTATATAATATTATTATATATTATTACCATCCGCGCCGCAATATAATAATATCGCAAAAACCTCTATCCGAACGAACGTAAATATTACTATTATTATTATTATTCCGACAACGACGAACGACATGAAAACGATGAGGTTTTTCGGCTTTTTTTTTTTTATCGAGTTGCAGTTTACTATATTTCATTTTTTTGTGAAATTCAAACAATATATTATGGTAATGAATTGGGTTCTATTTGCTACCTACTTGTTTATACATGTGCACGAAAATAATAATAATAATAGATATATATTATATACCCAATACTGTACAGACCAAGCTCAAAGGAACGAAAAAAATGGAACTTAATTTGAGCATTTCTGTTATAATATGTATATATTATGTACAGACTACTACACAAACGATTTCGTGTTTGAATGAAAACAAATTGCCACAAATTGTATATCTAACTATTATTCATACGTATATACCTATAACTATAATATGATATTATAATAATTTATTGTATAGGTACGTTAATTAGGGTATAGTAACCGAAGATTACCTATCATTGTATAGTGGTAAATATACTTTTATTGATACAAAATATATTAATGACATAGTATTCTATTAAAAAAAAGGATGAGGAAAAAAAATATATTTCTATTCATCGTGGTATTCACGGATGTGGTTGGTTAACTACTTTTTTTTTTTGAAATGTTTAAACTATGTCATAAAAGTTTAAATCTAAATATATTTTTACCCAACCCCGTCAAAATAAAATAAATAAATAAAATATAGTTTATGTTTCAAGTATCCGCGAAGCTCGCTATTGACTTTGCGTTTTAATTTTGTTTTGATAATTTTAATGAGTACCTATTATGCACTTCACTTGATTTAGACTGTTAAACATATAATATCAAATAACTTAAAGCTTAACAGTTAATACCCATAATTATATTCAATTTTTGTAAAAAAAAAAAAAAATATAATTTAAATATAACAAAATCTTTCCGAATAATCATTCGTCTGTACTCTCAAAGCTTCTGAATATATCCCAAACGTCTAAACATGTCTTAGTCCATAAATATAATGATTTGTACAAGGTACAACAAATCAAACGGAAGTCTGATCATAAAATACGAGTATTGTTCCAAAATAATGATTCTGGCAAAGGGACTGAACCATCATTAGAATTGTCTTCTTTTGTCACAGCTCTCGGTTTCCGCTTTTGACTTTGTCGTTTTCACGTCTTTGTCTCTATACGTTCCATTAGTTGAAGTTAAAAAATGATTTACCTCAATTTCAAGTTTCAACATGTTCATGCCTGCCCTTCTAATATCCATCATGTGTACCATCACACGTGCAAGCACGCGAGTGCTCATACTATAATACCCCAAAATTATGTATGGCTTGTATATAATTAACAACCTTTAGGGCAATACATCAAGTTTAAGTGTACCTTTACTCATTGACCGCAGGTACGGTAGGTACTAGGACACTAGGTACATTAAATTGCACAATATGTGCCTTTTCAAAATTATTATATATTTATACATATAAATATATTCTTTAGTATCTATATGTGTTTCTGCAGTGTCATAATCAGGTATTTACTTAGGTATATACTTACAGGTTGTTTCAAACTATATTAATATTGTTGAAAATAATAAATAACTATGAATACCTGTTCAAACAATAGGAAAACAATACAACATTTTTACTAAATCATTATTTAGATTTCTTGCAGTATCAAGGCATAATACTATAGGATTATAATATACGAAATAAGTACCTACCCTATTTACATAGGATTACCTATGATAAAAAAAAAATTAGTATGGTCAAAAGACGAAGTTTTTTTTATTTGGAAATTGTTAACCCTATTCAATTAATCTTTGTACACAGGGATTCGCAAGTATTTTTGGAAATCAAACCTTTGTGATACCCTTTTTAATAGGTAGTTAATATTTAGCCAAAACATTCTGGTACACTGATTACTAAATAGTTTGGGGTCAACTATTTTAGTTGGAAACACATAATATGCAACCATTAAAATGTATAACAATAGCCGATTTACTATTTTATAGTACGATTTCCATTGAATTCAATTATATTAACAAGATTTTAGAATATAATCGTCGTAATATCGTAAACCTCACTATATTTAATACTTACAGACAAAATTAAAGGCATCCTACCTTTACACATTGGAGGTAGGTACATTTAATTATTAAATTCCGAACAAAGAATATTCGATCAATGCGAATGTTGGTTTGTTTTAATCATATTTCGATCATTTTTATGATTACACTTAATTTGAATTAGACAGTTAAACTTATAATACCAAATCATTTTGAGTTGAAATTATTCATAGACATGTATCAATTGTAAATCATTTTAAAGGCACGAAGAATCAATATTGTTGTTTAAATGCATCGATTATTATATCAACATATTTTTAATATTGTATCAGCATAACATAATAATTTTACTTAATATATGTAACAAAAAATATAAATACAATTACGTTTGCCTATTTGATTACGATTGAAGTGTAACAATATATTTATTTTTACATATGTACCTACTATAGTAGTTGACAAGGCCGGTAATGATGACTAATTTGTTTAACTTGATGAGTTAAGTTTTAAAGACAAATGTCAGTGAAGTTTAAAGTTAAAAAGTACTTTTCTTTTTAAAACTTGTGAATGTTACAAGTTAAATAGAAAAAATATTACCTAACTTAACTTAGTCAAAAATTAGTTATTTATATTTTATATATAAATTTGAATGCTAGGTACAATCTATGCCAAATCACAATACGCAAACTTGATAAAAGTATATTTGTGTATAAATACATAGAAACAAAAACATACAGTAAAAATAATACATAATATAATAGTGACCGACGAAAAAATAACAGAAATGTAGGCCATCTAATGATAGAACCCAATTTAAGTAAAAAATTATATTTAGGTTAATTTTTAAGAGATAGCAGAACCATCGCAACGTATCATTTAACCGTCAAGCTAGGTTGGGTGGTAGAGTTATTTTGGTTTTGGGAATTAAAATTAATATGTATTGGTGAGATTATATTATTTTTAATTTGTAAAGATTGGTAATTTTATTTATTTATCTCGTCAGTGTACAATATGATAAATATTACCTTTTTCCGTTTATTATTGTTTTTTTTTGTTAAAAAATTATAATTTATAATTTGTACAAAACAAATTATATTTAAATCTACGAGGTTTATTTTATGAACGAGTTAATTAATTTTAACTATTAAATGAATTAACTGATTAGTAACGACATTTGTTACTCATATCATGTAAAAAAACTTAACTCGTCAAGTTAAAATTCCTTTTTTCAAATAATAATAAATAAAGTATGTAGCTTAGTTATAAAAGTAACTTACCTAAACTATATCTTTCGATTTCAGTATTTCAGTTTTAACTTAATAGGATTATCGAATCCTTATAACGTATCATAATAAGGAGTCAACATCCAAAACTTGAGCATAAAATGTCTATATTTCAGCCTTTGAAGTATTCACGTTGTGCAACAAATCAGAAACTATAGAATCACCTTTAGATAATCCAAAAATATTATTTTCTTGAATTGGTGGATGCTTTACATTTATACGACTTGCTCGCGCTGAAGGAGTATTTGATACACATTTATGTTTACTGCGGTATACGACTGATTTATGTCAAAATATTTTTCATCACTTATGTCTGTTTTCGAAGTTATAGTCTTTCCTAGATAAACAAATACTTTTTATATTTGTTTTTTTAATGGTTAGATGGTTTTTTTAACTCTTGAATCAGCTAGAAATGTTTAAAATGTTTCACACTATAGTAATGTTCCACACTATATCACTCGATCCAGAAGCTTCATTATTTATTGATTCATTTAATTTTGTACTTTAAGTGGTTACATGGCACTTGTTTTATCCTAAAGGTAAATTCCTGCAGTTATACTTAAGATTAAATTTATCTATCCAAGCTGTACTTAAAAACCCTAGAAATTCCGCCTTCTGGATACAGCCACGACCTTTATTTTTATAAGCCAATAAGGACCGTCTCCGCTGGATATCAATTAGGTAATATTTGCAGACCAAGACTGCCAAAGTAAGACAAATTGGACATTGTCTCTTATTTATTTTTATACTGTATTGAGATGTTTACTCGATTGACCAGCTATGCCGGGCACGGCCATCTCCCGCGCGTGGCTCGTAGCTAGTCTTTCCAAGAAGACTGGGTAACAAAATCAAAGATTTTGACAAATATATAATATAATATGTCATTAGGTTCATTCAAATTTGTAAAAATAA